CATATGCTGTGCAGCGCCGCCTCGTCAGCAAGCACGATAGCGAGGTTTGCCCATATCTTCATGCTGCTGCCATCAGCCAATTCAAAGGATACTCCAGAGTAGCGTAAGTCATGGCCTGACGGGTCGAAGCATTTTTTCAGTACACCGCCGACAAGTTGCGCCACCCCTGCTTCGCAATCCGAAACCTCTGCGGCTTTGACGGCCGAGATTGGCAGCCAAAAGTCCTCCTTGGATAGCGCTGGGGCGCCATATTCCAGAAATGCTATATATATATATATGCACTCTAATGCGCGCTTGTTCCACTGCTTCATTTTATTACCTGGCTTTGCCTGGTCATTGTACAAGATCAAACTCCAAGGGGGCGCAGGGCTGCACGGGTGTCGGTCGAAGGTCTCTTTCAGGAGTGCACTGAATCGGCCACGCTTCGCAGCCTCGAAAATCAATGGAATCGGGTTCGCCATCATCAGCCTTGCCTCGGTCCCTGTGCGCTTGCGCAGCAGAACCTGCACGGAGGAGGAGGGGGAGGAGGGGGGGGGAAGGAGTGGAAAGGAGAGAGGACGATGGTCCCTTCTTCAGTTTCAAAAACTCAATTTCTCCCTGGGGCTCCACTCCAAAAAACCCGAGCTTTCGAAACATCAAGTTACTCCAGGAGAATCGACCCCCCCAAAAAAAACCGAGCAAGGAGATGAGAAAGTAGTTGAGATGGGGGCCAAGCAATCTTATAATCTTATATTTCTGAGAGGGGGTTGAAAGAGGACCATATGGAGTTACAATGTTTGCATCCAAGTCTCGGGCATCACGTATATCCTTGGTCGAGCAAGCCTCAGGTAGGTCACGAGCGTGAGATACTAGGGAAGCCAATGCTGACTGGGTGACATGAGGTATCGAGTTTCTCACGCTGTTAAGTGTTCGGGGTTTGGCTTCTCGAGGCTCCATGCTTGAGCCCAAATGGCTACGGGGACGGCGATGAGAGGAGGCAACATTATGAATGCATCGGTATTGAGCATGCGTTGGTACCACTCTCACGTCGGATCTTCCGTCCAAGGTTTCGGCTAGACTCGATGGGGCCATCGCTCCCCTCCCGATCCTCCCTCCAGAGGTCAAACT